GGCTTCTTAGGTGTGTGACTGTGGGCAAGTGAATCTCTGTACTTGAGGGTCCTAACTCATAAAACAGGGCTAATGGCAGATTTGTTGTGAAACGAACTAACTCCTATAAAGAACCCAGCACAATGCCTGTGGTGGAAGGAAGCCACTCATACGTGTCAATTACTACTATTAATTTTTTTTAAACATAGTTCTTATTCTATGATCTATCTCCCTTGCACCCTTTCTCAAAAAGCTACTATAGGATGTATTCCGCGGAAAAAAGAGAGTAAATCACAAAAGAGGAGAATATGGCATTCCAGAAACAGGGGATCCAGTTGATAGGGCAAAGGGCATCCCAAGGAAGACCCTGCTGGCACCAGAGAAGGCCCAGGGCAGCCCACACAGGCGGCGCCAGGAGGGTGGCTCCATGTGAACAAGAATTACTTGAAGAGTTGGACTGAGAGTTTAAAATTCTGTCAGCAAGTTTGGGGCTGAATTAGTGATACATAGAAAAATATGCAAAAGGAAAAATAAAATAGGAAAACCAATAGTCGTACGAGAAAGGAAACGTAATCTTGCTAAGCCATGAGGCCTGTGTGAACGCTGTGCACTGTGACGTGGCCACACCAGAAGGCCAAGCAGAGGACTCTGAGCAGGAGCCGAGGCTGCCGCCTGGACTCAGCGGGAGCGGGGGCGGTGGGGACATGACGACGACGGATGGACGGACACGTTGGTGGGTGGGCAGGAGCGGCTGTTTTGTTACTAGCCTTGCAGAAGAACTTCACCTTGAGCTATACACAAGCCTACTTAGCTGGAATAATAAAAAATAAAAACTATAAATACAAAGGAATGAAACCAACAAGACCAATCGAAGTCACTGGGCTCCTCTTGGAGAGGAGGGGCCCCTGGCCTGGGCTGGAGAGGAGGCCCATGTCTGACCCGGAGAACCCAGTGGGTGACAGACCCACCTCGGCTGGGACAGGCGGTGGCAGGAGGAAGAGACACTGTTCACGTGAGGGTTTTGGTGTCCGGGCCAACCCCCCCGTTTTGGTGGCCTCTGGGGCCCCCTCTACCCATAGCAGGGCCTAGAGGTCGGCCAGCTCCACTCAACAGGACTCCAAGCTGGACTGGTCTCCTCCCCACACTGTACAGTCCACACGGGGACGAGGCTGGCCCAGGTGGCAAGGTCGCAGGGTGCCGGGTCACAGAGCAGGAGCCCCCATCCAGTTGTAGCTGACCTCTGGGTTCCCAAATGTGCTGGGCCAATTTCACTCCACAACGCACGTGCACAGTTAGTGCCGCCTGGTGCCCAGCTCGACCCCTGAGCCACCCCTGCCCCAGCCACGTTTTGGAGGCTCCCAAGGAGCTACCATGAGCTCGCACCTGGCCTGAGGGCTGAGGCCTCCCCTCCCCTTGGCCTTGGGGAGCCCCACCAGCCCTGCTGCTGCCACAGCTAAGGAGAGTAGGGCTGTGGGCCTGCTGTGGCCCCCCACGCTCCCAGAGCCACCCCTGCTCCACTGGTCACCTAGGAGTCTGCAGCACTTCCCCTCCCTACTCATCCAGGATCAGTCCTCAAAACATACCCCCACAGACGTGCCCACAAAAGCCACCCTACACCGAGGACCCCAAACCTCCAGACACCGTTCAGACCACCGCCCCCTGAAGCGGCAAAGTCTCAGCCACCCTGGACTCCTGCCCCAGCCCTGCCACTTGGCTGCCATGTGACCCCGGGTGAGGGACTCAATGCTGCAGGACTGTTTCCTCACCTGAACACGGCCCGGTAGTGCCCTGCAAGGCTGAGGTCAGCACTGGACACGTGGGGGGGTACTACAGCCCGGGGAGCATGGGCTGGCCTCTGGTGCCCAGCCAAGTAGGGGGGCGCTGTTACCCCGAGGCTAACTTCAGACCCAAGTCTGGACCTCTTGGCCACTCCCCGGGGCTGCATCTCAAAAGCCCTTCCTGGGTTTTTTCCACAACTCAGACAGCCTGAGAGAGGATTCCCTCCTACCTCTGTCCACCCAGGGTCCAGCGTCCTTCCTGGGTGAACTCAGCAGGCCATGGCCAGGCTAGGGGAGCGGATTCTTCTCCAGCCTCTGCTCCCTTCGAGGCTCTCTCTGCCACTCTGGCCAGCCTGCACGCTCCTCTGACAGCTGAGCACAGCTATTCATAGCACGAGGCCCCCACACGTAAGCATGCTGTGTTCCGGCCCTGTGCATCTGAGGTGGGCAGGGCCCCAGTGCCCAGCGTCAGTGTCCTCCCGCACAGCCTGAGCCTGCCCAGTCCTTCCTCGGCCCACCATGGGGGCGGGAACACCCAGGCCAGAAGACACTGCCCGTGCCCCAGACGTGGAGCAGCAGAGTGACAAGCATGGGGGGTGGAGGCTGAGCTCACTGAAGTCTCCCACACTAGGCCCAAGAGGCAGGGTCCTCAACAAGTGTCCAAGACCACCCCATCCGCTCTGGCCCTGGCTGGGGCCTTCCTTGGCTAGAACCCAAGCCCGGGGCACTGCTAGTGGAGGCTGGGTAAGGGCCCATCACAGGCCAGAACCACATCACAAGGCAGCTCGCAGGCCCCCACTCTGTCCCCCCACCTTTGCCCTCTCCCTCAAGGGGTGCCCAGGCCACAACAGGGAGAGAGAGCAGGGTGGAGTGCCCACAGGGAAGGGGGGGAGCCTCTTGTGGCCTGGGAGGAACTGCAAAGATAAAAATAAAACCCCAAAATTGCCTCTTGAGGTGGTGGTTGGGCCCCGAAGGAATCCAAGCCACACGCAGGATGAGCTCTGCACACGCGCAGCCAGGAGCAGGGAGAGAAGGGCTACTGGGGTCCAGGCTGCAGGGGGGTGGAGGGCTGCAGGTCCAAAGGGGACAGGGGTCCGGGGGTGGGGGGGCTGGGCTGGCTCAGGAGCTGACCCGACACGACCAGTGACATCTGGAGCGGGGATCCTGCCGGTACCGCCACTGAAGTCTGGGGCCAATTATTCCCAGGCAGAGGCCACCCTGTACATCGGAGGGCGTTTGGAGCACCCCTGGCCTCCACCCATTGTTCTCAGCAGTACCCCTGAACTATGACAACCAAAAACATCTCCAGATGTGGCCGAATACCACAATTGCTCTGGAAGATCTGTGAAGCCGAGTGTCCTGGAGCAGCCTGGACCCCACGGGCAGCCTGCCTCCTGGGGGCCCCTCAGTCAGCACCCACCCGAGGGAGGAGGCTGGAACAGGTGCCCAGGCCCTCTGACACTCTGCCAGCTGCAGCCTCCAGGCGTCTGGCTCTGCAGCCCCCTGTACAGACCGGCCAGTCGCACCCCCAGAACTCACGGCCCAGCCGAGCTCCTGACAGGCTTTGTCTCCAGATGGTAACGACTCAGCGTCCATTTTCCCCACAGCCAGGGATGGGGAGGTGAGTCAGGGGCAGCTACTGCAGCGGGGCTGGAAGAAACACCGGAGCAGCTGCTCAGCAGCCAGGGTGCCAGCCAAGTGCTCCCCTGGCAGGCAGAAGCCCAGATAGAAAGCCTGGCAGAGCTGAGGCCAGAGGTGGCACCAAGAGGTCATGGTCCACTCCACCCTAGGGAGGGTCCACCGCTGAGGCCCTGGCCCTGGGACCCCTGCCCCACTCACAGCACGGGCAACTGAGACCCGAGAAGGATGCCTATGATCTCAGTGGGGGCTCTCTCAAGCAACTAAGTGGTAGGGTGCTCTACTGTGCTGGTCCTCACCCCAGACCCCAGGGGCTGCCAGAGACAGACTGCTGCTCCCTGACGGCCGCCAGCGAGAGCAAGCCTGCACCCTCAATGGCCTCAGGGCCCCTCCAGGTCAAGGCCAGCTTCATCCTCCTCACAGGCCACCATACTTAGCTCCTCTGTGAGCAGGTCCCCCTGAGGGCCCAGCTGTTAGAAGCCACTGGCACGCACAGGACAGGGGCCTGCCTGCTCACTGAAGCAATGTGGGGTAACCAACACAACACAGGGGCTCCGTTCCAGGGAAACCGCTGCGACACCATGCTCAAGCCCTCCCCGGGATCTGCCTAATTTGCAGGGAGCTCAAACCCAGGCCCCAAATGTATTTCCATGACCACAGGCGAGAAGCCCCCACAGCCCTGGTGAGCAGCAGCGTGGGGTGGGGGGACTGTGGCAGGGTGCCGAAACACGAGAGCCTCCACAGGACAGCTCAGGAAAGACGCACCGTCTTCCTCTCTTTTCCCTTAGCCGTTGGGGCAGGGCAGGCGCTGAGCATGAGAACAAGCCTCACTCGCCTTCGTGGCACTCCAACTGTGCTCCCCTGCCTGCAGCCCAGCACCCCCAGCCTGGATGCAGAGGCCTACAAGCCCCTCCAGAACCCCACTATTAGGAATAACAAGTTTTTCTCCGTCTAGGAGAAATCTGGACTCGCTGGGGGCCCCTGGCTCACGCTATAGCCCCAGGGCTTCCACAGCTCCATAAACAGCACCCCTTCCTCAGCCAGCCGCAACTCAAAACCTGTCGGAGCACACTCTCCAAGCCATCCCTTCCTGCTTAGCCCCCACACCACCCCCACTCAGCGCCCCAAGAAGTGACAGAAGCCAAGGGGTCCCCAGCCCCAGGTGAGCAGAACTGCTCAGGGGCCCATGGGGCCTGCAGGACACCGTCTATTGCCTCTGGAGGCATGGGCCCTTTCCTGCCTCCTCTCTTACCTCTCCCAGTCTCCCCAGTGATGCCCTCCCTGATCCCATTCATAAAACATAACCTAATCACACCCCCACCTCAGTCTGGGCACTCTGTCCACCTGTGTGTTCACTACAAGTTAGCCTCCCCCAGAGGAATGCAGATGCCTTCAGGGCGGTGCTGGGGCTCTACTCACAGCTACTCCCACAGCCCACACTCACAGCGAGACTGTCATTCCCACAGGCCGGCCCCCGCCAGGCCGAGATGAGAGACTGCCACCCTGCCACCCTGGGGCCGTTGTGCTTCCTGTCACACCAGAGGCTGGCAACAACCTCAATCTCAAGATAGCTCACGCCAGGCACAAGAAGGTCTAGGCTGACAGACACAGCTGAGCTCTCGAGACATTTATTACAAGATACCATGGGCACTAACAGGGGTGACAAAGAGAAACACTAGACTCATTTGCTCTTCAGGTAGATCTTGGGGGTCTGCCAGCCAGGAGGGGCTTCCTTCAGGCCTGCCTTCAGCCAGATGCGCCTCAGGTCTCTCTCGAACTTGATCTATGATGGCAGAGGGAGGGCCACCGGCTGATTGGTGGCACAACCATGTGTTGTCAGCCACCTTGCCCCACCCTGGGCCAATGGGCCACACTCACCTGTTTCCGCTTCAAGCGGCCTTCACGGACCTTCCGCCGCAGGAACCGGGTCCTCTTGACCAGCTTGCGGTACTTGTGATGATTCATCTTCCGGCGCCGGATCTTCAGTACGTTTTTGCACTGCATCTGGGATGCATCCCAGACCTCCTCGACCCCCTGCCCAGCCCCTTCTGCTACCTGGCTAGGCCGACACTCATAGAGTTGGGCTGGAGCCACGGCCCCTGGGGCCCCAGCATCCAGTCCGGGCAGGAGGTAGCGAGTGGTCAGCCAGCTCTCCAAGAGGCTGATGGACATCTTCCTGGGGACCAGCATCTCCTCAAGCTCCAGCTGGACCCCCTGGCCAGGGAGGGAGGCAACCCCACTTGGACCTGCTGGCTGGGTGCTGTAGCGGGACCTGCAGGCGTGGCGGCCCAGCACCCCTGAGACAGGGGGGGGCCGACGGCAGGCTGCAGGAAACACGAGGACCCAGTTACCCACGGGGCCAGGCGGCCGAGGGCACGACCAGGGGGCCTGACCAGGCTGGGCAGCAGAGCCTCCACGCAGGCTGGCACGGCCCGCACCCCACTCCTGGCCTGAACCTCGCTCCTCCCAGGCCCAGGCTCCCTGGCGGCGCTCGGGTGTTTACAGCGGAGGCTGTGGGCCGGGCTCCTGCCTCCCGCCAGGGAGGCGCAGCAGCCGGGGCAGGAGGGCCGGTGGGGCCGGTGGGCCGCTTGGCCGGCATTCCCGACCCAGGCGCGCACCCCGCCCGCCCGCCCGAGGGCCTCACCTGCCCGGGGAGCAGCCTGGAGCAGCCGAACGGTCACGCGCCCCAACAGCATAGTCGCGGCGGCCCCAGGCGCTCGGGCAGCTGCAACGCAGGCGCTGAGGTCACGCAGGGCGGCGGCGGGGGCTCGGGTCCTGCCCGCCCCCGGCCCACGCCTGCCCCC